GGGGGGGGCGGGCCTGGAGATGAGCAGCCAAAGCCGGCAGGTGCGGGAGGCACCGGCCGTGCACAGAGCGCAGGGGCAGACAAAGGCAGGGTCCTCGGGTTGGAGGCTGGCGGGCACCACCCTCCTGAGCCTGTGCTGCCTTCGAGCCAGCCAAGCCCAAACATCGCCCCGGCTGCAGTGCTGTGGGGTGAGGAGCAGCCCGGGGTGCAGCACTGGTCCACACAGCCTCAGCCTCTCCTTCCGGGTGTGGCCCCTGCCTCCCTGTCTGTCTCCTCAAACCTTCCTCACCCACAGGCTGTCTGCTGAGTGACCAGCATGTGCTGCCCATGTGAGCAAAGTTCCTGCAGGGGTGGGGTGGGGTGGGGAGGGGGTCAGCATGGCTCTCATCCTGGCAGACAGCGCTCAGGGCCAACAGTACACTGAGGGGACCGTGAAAGGTCCTTAACATGTAAGTCGAGCATGGTAGTTCACGCCTGTAATCCCAGCTTCTTGGGAAGAGGGGCAGAGGCGATCAAGTCAAGCCTCAGAAGAGTTATCAAGATTATCAATACCAAATCCACACCCACCATTGTGGCTACCTGGGAGGCTGAGACTGGGGCTGGGACTACAGCAAGGCCTCCCAGAGCCCACCAGCACTGCTCAGCAGAGGGTGCAGAGCCAAGGAGTCTGTCGGCTCAGGGGTCCCTCTCTGCTTCCGCCCAGCCCCAGACAGTGCTCCATTCATCTCCAGCAACCAGCTTGGGGGGAGGGGGACAGGACCGTAGCCCTCTCCCCTGCACCGTCCACCCCTCTTCCTGCTGCCAGGTTACCTCCCAGAAGCCACAGGTGCGGCAGCTTCCTCCCCCAAGGTGGGCACGGGGCGGGGGGGGGGTAGCAGACCCCCCGCAGCTGCAGCAGAGCCAACAGAAGGGCTGCAGCTGGGGAGCAGGGAACAGGCTCTGCGCGCCTCCTGGGTGGTCCCGGAAGGGCACCTCTGACCCAGCCTCCCCCAGGGCAGGCGGGAGGAAGTGAGCAGCACACAGGCCTCCACGTTGGTCGCGGGCAGGCAGGGCCTGGCACAGGCTTCGGAACAAAGCCCTGCAGCACCAGGGCAGCCACTTCCACCACCCACAGGCCCAGGCCTGGGGAGGACGCAGAGGCCCAGGAGGCGGCGGCTGGGAATGCGGGCAGACGCCCGGGAGCCCCTCTGTGTCCCCCAACTGTGGCCACAGATACTGCACAGCCAGGACCCGACGGAGGCCACCTCCCCCCTCCCGACACACCCCGGGGCTCTGCCACCGCCCTGGGCAGGGCCACAGATCCGAGTCAATGGGTTCCCGAGTTGAGGCTGGCACCAGCAGCTCTGCTAGTCGCTCAGGACCGGGCACACAGCACAGCAGGTGGTTTCTGATGGACCAGCCAGGATGGGCAGGGGTGCTGACGGCTGGAGGAGAGGCCCCTGTAGGAGGTGTCACCTTCCAAAACTCGGTCCACAGCCAGCCACCACGCGCAGTTTCCCAGGCAGCGTGTGCAGTGCCCACAGTGGGAAACAGCATCCTCCCCCTCCCTCCCCACCTCCTGCCCACCCAGAGCCACTGACAGCGCTGAGCTGGGGGTCCAAGCCCTCCTGGCTGGAGCCTGGGCAGCGGTGGCAGCAGCCTGGCCAGCCCCCGGGGCTGCCGGGGAAGGCAGGCTCCCCCTGTACTCCAAACTTGCTTCGCAGTCTCCACACAAACTGCCCATGATACTGCACTGGGGACGCTTTCAACGAGCAACAGCCACACCTGCCCGCGGGCAACACGGCCGCCATGCAAAGCTAAGGCCCACTTTGGTATTTGGGTTTCTTTTGCAATACTAAGGTTTGAATTCCAGGCCTTGTACTTGCCAGGCAGGTGCCCCACCACCCATCCACGCCCCTAGGCCTTTTTGCTTTCGTTATTTCTCAGTCAGGGTCTTGTGTTTTTGTCCCGGTCAGCCTGGACAGTGATCCTCCTGTTTGTGCTTCCTGAATAGCTAGCATGACAGGTGCACACCACCACGCCAAGTTTATTGACTGAGATGGGGGTCTCATGACCCATTTGCCTGAGGCTGGCCTCAGATCGAACTCCTCCCAAGCTCTGCTTCAGGAGGAGTTGGGATTACAGGTATAAGTCACCGAACTCAAAGTTCTTCCTCTGTCAACCCACGAAATCTCCTAACAACCCTATAACCCCAGCCCATCCCCATGTGGGGATGATAAAGCCGCAGCTCTGCCAGGTCAGGAAAGCCATCTGAAGTCGCAGAGCGGGAGGCAGGCCGACCTTACAGACCTACAACCACACTCTCTATAGGCACAAAGCACAAAAGTCTTAAAAAGGACGCTCCTTCCCGGTGGACAGGGCCAACCTCTAAGAGAAGTTGTCAGATGGGGCGCACTGGGTACTGTGGGGAAAATCTGTGGGGAACACAGGTAGCAAAGATGGCCCTGAGAGGAAGTTGAGTGGGCAGAGCTAGATTTGTTTAGGTTCAGTGTGTAAACATCCCATGGAAGCTTGGGTACATGATAAGGTATGGCCTTTCAGTGATTGGTTGATCCAATTTCCTCTCCTCCCACGCAGTCTTTTGCTTTAAAAAGGGGATGCTCCCTGTTAATAAACCGAGCTTCTGCTTGACTTGACTCCCCGCTGCGTCTGATTGTCTCCTGGGCTAAGGGAGGCTGGGGAACGGGCGAGCGGCCGCACTTACCTCTCCTCGGACCCCGTCCGTCCAAAGACGGACGAAAACCCAACAGGGTACACTAGGCTGTCGCTTGTGGGAGAAGAAAAGATGCAAAGTCAAGTCTATATGCAACCACTCCAATGCCAGAGCACATCCCCAAAAGTGAGCCCCGATGGAAGTGGCGCCGTGGCTCAAGCGGTAGAGCGCTCGCCTTGAGCCGAAGAGCTGAGGGGCAGCGCCCGGGCCCAGAGTTCAGGCCCCACAGCCGACAAAAAAAAAGTGAGCCCCGAGACAGGCGCTGCCATGGGAAACGGAACTCCGCAGCAAGGGGGAAGGAAGTCAGAGGGAAACCAATTACTGGTGCACATTCCCATAACGTTTGCCTATGTAGCCATAGGCAAGTAAGAGCTTCCCAGTCCAGAGTAAGTGGGGGGGGGAAATACATTAAAACCAGTGGAAGTAAAGCACTACACACAGAGTAACAGTCCCCATTGAATCAGAAACTCACTGTGGGGCCAGAAGAAATGAGTAGATCCCCACCCCTCCAGCTCTCACTCACTTCCTGTCCACCCTCGGCAGACTGGGTAGGGAGTGGAAGAGGCTGGCAGGGCTGGGGCTGGCTACTGATGGATACTTGGCCCTCGGGCCTAATGTGGGAGAAACCAATGCCTTAGGTATTTGACTGGCAGTATGGACAGTTGTGTCCACACAATCTTGGTGGCACTGGCCTCTGGCGGGTAAGAGCCTAGCACTGCCTGTGCCACAGAGTCAACTTGGCCTAGATAGGTGTCAAGAGCGCACGCTGCCATGTGCGGTGTCACCTCTGAGCGCCGGTCCATGTGTAGCAGGTCTGCTGCGGCCGAGACTGTGCACCGCTCACAGGCAGAGAGCCACACGCAGGCTGCCACCCTGGCTGGGGCAGGGCCACGCGGAGAGGCAGGGCCTTACCCGGCCCGGCTGGGGTCCACGTGCAGGGGACAGGGGCTGGGCATTACGTCCCGGCAGGGAGGGCGGAAGAGCTGGCTGGTGTGGAGGCGAGCATGCGCACAGAGCCCCTCCCCCGGTGCAGGGACACTGGCTGTCCTGGGACCGGCGGTGGCGGAGTCCACGGACTCACCATGCAGAGTCTCCACTGAGAGCTGCAGGCCCAGGTTGTGTCGAGGGTTGACCACCCAGTGGTTGCTGGTGGCGGTGATGTCGAACACCAGCCAGCCCTCCTCAGAGGCCCACAGGGTGCGGCTGTCCAGCAGGAAGAGGTCCGACTCCCTGGAGAGAAACAGAGATGGCTCTAGGTTAGCCGGCCACGGCACCTCCACACCAACCGCCAGCCCCTTACTGGAGGGGGAGGAGGGGCCCTGGCAGCCCCACAGCGGGAGAGGGACAGGGACACATGGGGGACAGGGCTGCCACCAGGCCATCTGGCCCTAGCCTCGGGGCTTCTTGGCAGGTGGTGCCAACCTGCAGGCTGCTGGAAGCCCCAGGTGGGGGGCAGGGCTTTACACACACTTAATCCTCCCAACGTTGATGTGTGAGGAGCAACTTAGTACATGGCACAACATCACTCGTCCAAGGTCACTTAGCCAAGGGTGCTGCTGGGCTGAGCAGCACCTGGCCAGAAGCTTTGTCTTATTCCCTCCCTTCTTTCCTTCCTCCCTCCCTCCCTTTCTCTCCTTTTCCTTTCCTTTTGTGTGTATATTCAGGTGCTGGTCATTGAGAGAAGGAAAGAGGGCACCCTTTAGTTCCTTCCCTCGCTTTTTGTAGTAGTGAATTAGCAAAGTCACAATTTGCCCTGTGGATGGGTAGGCAGGTGAGTGGGTGGGGAGTGGATAGCTGGACAGACAGAATGGGCAAACAAATGGATAAATGGCTGCAGGGAAAGGTGGATGCTTGAATGGATATATGGATGGGTGGATGTATGGACAGACAGATGGATGTTGGATGGGTGGATAGGGGAGTGAGAGGGTAGCTGAGTAGCTGGGTGAGGGGGTAAGTGGATAAATGGATGGATGGACGGGTAGGTAGGTAGATAGGTAGGTAGATGAATAGTGAGGTGGGTGGCAGATTGAGTGGATGGACAGATAAATGGATGGATAGATGGATGGATGCATGCATGGAAAGCACCATGGCAAAACCCAAAGAGAGTTTCTGCTCTTTACACACAGTCACCAGCTGTGGCAAGTACGTACTGAGCAGTTACTACATGCCAGGCTCTGGGTGTACAGCCTGACCAGCTTCATGTCACCGACTTCTCTGAAGGTTGGGGAACTCTTCCCAGCAGTGGCAGCGGCTCAGAAGGCCGGGGTTGTTTACCCGGGATTCTATCGCCAGACCAGGAGCCAGTTAGGCAAAACCCAGCCAGGTACCACGCAGGAAGATGGCTCTTCCGGCGTCTCTGCTCAGGTGGGGCTGTCAGCGTCTCCAGGCCTTTGACCAATGAGACTATGACGAACTTCCCGCTCAGCCAGGGGCGGGAAGCAAGCCGGGGACTCCAGGTGGGCAGGGGTCCTCCCCGAGCTACCCTCCACAGCCCCCAGGCAAACCCAGGAATAAACAAACTTACACCATGAACCAGTGTCCTCAAGGGTTGTTTTTTTTTGTGGGGGGTGGGGAGAGGGTGCCAGTACTGGGTCTGGAACTCAGGGCCAGAGCTTTTCACTCACGGCTGGTGCTCTACCAATTGAGCCACTCCTCCACTTCCAGCTTTTTGGTAATTAGAGATAAGAACCTCACAGACTTTTCTGCCCAGACTGGCTTTGAACCATGATCCTCATATCTCAGCCTCCTGGATAGCTGGGACTACAGAGGTGAGCCACTGGTGCCCGGCCTTCGTTTGCCCTTGAGAACAGGAATGGGGCGGGAGGGCTGGAGATGGGGGAGGGCCGGGCAGGGCCTTTGCTACTCCCCACAGTGAGGCAGCTCAGAATCTCCCAGCCGCCCTGGGATCCCCACATCCACCCACAGGTGTGTAAGGCCACTCATGGCTCTATGAGGCACTCTGCCAATGCAGCCCCCCTCCACACACACGTTCCCTGTCTGTCTGTGCCCGAGCGCCACGCTCCCAGCTGCTGGTGGAGTCTGACCCCATCTGTGGGGTCTGGACGGACCATGCAGCCCACGGTGTGCAGGAGGCGCCCGCGGAGACCAGGCCTGGTGACTCAAGAGGCCTGGTGGCTTCTGGGCTTGTCCTCTGCAAGGCCAGGCTGACATTGCTGAAGACAGAGACGTCCTGGGGTCAGGGCGGGGGGGGGGACCAGGAAACAGGCTGGCTCCAGGTGGGGTGCCATGGCTGACCACAAGCAATGCCCTCCTCCTCCCCCCCCCCCGCAGGGAAGCAGCAGCAGCTGGCTCTGCCCGGCCCCATTCCTGAGCCAAAGAATCATTGTTGGTTCAACCACAACGTGTGGGCGGGCACAGACCATCCAAATAACACTCAACCGAAAGCGGGCCCTCTTTTGAGGGGCACCGGCGAGGACTCGGGCCTGTGCAAGGCAGGCAAGGCAGGGGGCCTCGCAGCCGCTGCTGGGCAGGGCCGGGACCATCTGCTCCGCTCAGCCACGCGGGCAGAGGCCATGTGAAACAGTGCGTGCACCGTGCACATTCCAGGAGGCAACAAAATGCTGAGACCAAGGCAGAAAGAAAGGGAACGTTTGACCAGTCAAATAAGACATTAAAGAGATTCCAGTAGAGAGCCAAGCACTGGAGCACGTGCCTATAATCCCAGCTACTTGGAGCAGTGG